AGGCTTTTCAACACTAAAACAACCTTTTCAAATGAATTTTTTAGATGCATCTTTAATTCTACATTCTAAGGTTGCTATCTAATATTTTTTTAAAAAAAAAATTGAAATATACTTTATGTTATTAAGAAGGGTTATGTTAGAACACTCACACTATAAAGCATTTTATAATTATACTCAACAAATTTTAGATACTTATATACCTATGTTTTGTTTATGGAACATTTTTTAGTAAGGGTATCTTTTTGTCATTGGGATGGGTGTGACATCATCCATATGACATCACCTACATGGAGCACACTACTGGCATTTAACCCTCATAATGATAAAAATACCCTTACTAAAAAACATTGCATTACAAAATAATGGTACATAAATGTCCAAAATTTATTAAAGTACAATTATAAAATGGTGCGGTTTGTATAGAGCTTAGGCTCTAAACAATCGAATTAGAGCTTACCTCTAAATAGTCTCGAAAAATGTGGTTTCAATACTTGAATTCTTTGTCATAGCCTTAAAATATATTTTCATCATTATTTATAAAGTTTAAAGCTTCAAAAATAGTGTAGATCAACATATCTATGAAAACTTTAAATTGACAGTCCAAAAATGCGTTACAAAATACACTATTTCTAAAACTTGAATTTCATTTTTTTTCTCATGTCCATGCATTTTGATGTCGAGATAATCAATTTGAGGATATGTAGGCATCAAAACAACCTCTTCTACTGAAATTTTTGAGGTACGTTCTAATTTGATTGTTTAGAGCCTCGGCTCTATATAAACTTTTCCCATTATAAAATACTCTCAAGTGTGAAGACTCGAACATAACCCATTTGGATGGTAAAGTATAAAATATATAGCATTACTTTTGAGAAAAAATATGCAACGAGACAATTTACTTGTAGTATAAGGAGGTCATAACCATTTTTGTCCATCAATTTTCAAATCAAATGGTTGTTATTGTACTTGTCACTAAGCTCAAAGCCCAACAAAAAAAAAAATTCAAGTTCCAATTATAGTGTACTTTATGACACATTATTTGGACCGTCTATTTTTAATATTTTTTGAGTGTTTATTTTTTCGCTTGAGCTATATTATTTTTGAAGCTTCAATTTTATATTATAGCTAGAAATAGATTTTCAAGCCATTGCACGGTTTGGTGATGCCAAAATTGTGTCTTTCAACAAGGTTTGAAGGTGCGCATTACTTTAAATGGTTTACGGTTGATGCCTTAAATAAACCGCTTGCAAATCTATTTAGCTTGGAAAAAAAAAAATGTTTTGCTTTCAATAGCATCTAGTAATGTACACCAAGTGAATCCAAACGCCCCCTTATTGTGTTCTAATGATACTAATACTTTGTGCATATGGAAAAGTTGACTTCTATTTCACATATTGGCAGAGCCACAATCACAGTTATGAATAATTATCCCATGACTGCTCGGCTATGTACAGTAATTTACTTAGCTGTTATTTTATATTAAAAAAATGAGATTGTCTATAAAGAGGTTGTTTATCTTTTGTACATAACGATTACAATTATTTTTGTCTCTTAAATTTCAAAATGGCTAGTTGTAAAAGTTTCATTAAATAGATATAAAGTTAAAAAAAAAAAATTCGGACTTTATGACTCACCCCAAGCTATCAAATTTGACATCTAATAAGTGGGAATGATTGTGACCTCCATATACAAAAAATAAATGCTCTTTTTGTAGACAATCCCAAAAAAAATACAATTGTTAGATTATTTTTTTGTGAGGGATATAGGCATTACCTGTTTTACAAATAGTTAGAGATTTTCGAATGCGCTTACAGGAATGGAAACCTAAACCGGTGGAACGCAACCCCTGCAATTATTAGATATTTACACTATTGCTTCTCCGGTCCCATTCATGAAGACTGTTTTTTTGTTTTGGGTAAATCAATGAGTGAGAGCGGTCCCATGCCCAATTTTCATTGAAAAAAACATGAAATCAAGAAATTGAGAGAAGCATGAGAGTCCAAACCTCTTTTTGTCCCGTAATTATGAAAGACGAGGCATATTAATGGGGCACTTTTTAATTACACAACAAAGCACCTTACTTGTCAAAACATAAAATTGATGTTATTGTAATTTACTTCGTGTACATGTTTGTATGTACTCGTTATCATTGATAAATCTCTCGTGGTCATTGATAATTCATTGTTTCAACAAATTTAGTCTTGAAAATGAGTTATTTTTTGTTTTTAGTGTGTAGCATAAAATTATTTAAGATAAATATACAGGGATTCACATATAAGTTTAATATAAAATTGAACTTATATGTGAAATTATATGAGATAAACATACAGGCATTTCACATAAAAGTTTAACTTTTTGAAAATTGCTTTTCACTTTATATAATGTAACTTTATCCTATTCG